TTCTTTGATGTGAGATCTTAACTCTTCACACTCACAAGGGAAACATACTACTTCAACACACCCAAAATCAAATCTAAGATTGACCCCAAAAAATGGCCCTAACCGTCTCCTTCTCCTCGGAAAAACGAAGATCACCTGCAACAGCAACTCCCCCCAACCCTAACCCTAAAATACGCCGAATCAAACCCAAACAAACTTTAAGTGGGAGGCATTTCAATGACTGCATCTACTTGCTTATTTACATGTTCTTTAATGGTGCTGGTTATGCTTGAAGATTGAACTATTCAACTGAAAAATAATGTATTTCCATATTTTTGAAAGCTGGCAAACCAAACCAAAACCTGTGTGTGATAATGCTAATAAAGGCAGTTTAATACTGTTTACATGGGATGTGTCTATCACGCTATCTTGACAAGGCGGTCCAATATGACTCAATTGTCATTTATACAATATAAACAGCAATGTACGGCTCTGTTGAATATTTCTGAGAAGGTTTTAGATTAATGCCCATGTTCTCCGGAACAGCATATCGAGCAACACTCAAAGCAGCCAAAACATGCCAGAACAGTGCATAGTTGTGTTAGCACGATTGCACATTGATCGTTCATCTTTGAGCAACAATTTATGCAGCACATGCAACAGCATTGACTACCTAACTTGCCACAACAATTTGAGGTTGCCTTCACAAACATTTCAGCAACTTCAGGTAATTTTGGTTCTTCATAGCATGGACGGAGGTTTTCAGCGGTTGCTCCTAAGTTGCCGAAGCCAATAGCAAAGCTCGGTAGCAGTAACTTCTTTGGGACATTAGGGACCATGTTCTTTGGAGATTTCTTGGGTGCCTGCTTTCATTGATTGTAAAAAGAACACATAAGGAGGTCTATAATTGTTAGAGAAAAAATAATTCTTATAGTGGCTAGACACACAAGGGCAGCGAGCGCTGTGCACTCCACCATCAAATTTCAAATGAAAAGGATTGTTCACTATTATAAGAAATCATACGTGCAAGAAATGGTGTCAATGCATACCTTGTGTCCTCCAGGCGATTCTGTTGTTATTTTATCATTCTCGAGTAAGATCATACAGGTATACTCGGCCACATTATGAGTTTGCATGCTCATTTTTGCAATCTAACATTTAAAAGAAATAGCATCAGAAATGTTGTTACTAAGAAATAAGGTGTAGGCAGCTTGAGTTACATTCAAAGTCACACAACATAGGAATGGTATCATGCAGCAAGTATAAAGTTGAGCAATCCCTCTTAGACAGATCTATCAGAATTCTAAAGCCAGAAAATTCATGACCTTTTCAGACTCAGCTTTCTTAAAGATCACAAAAATTTTATAAACAAACCAGTTCTTTCCACTAATTACGGTTACCAAACATCAGAATATGCGACAGACCTTCTGCTCAAGCTCTCTATTTTCTGAAAGCCATGCCTGCGCTGTGAGCAGATCAATCTGCTGTCTTACTAACACCTGTTGAAGGAAAGGAAAATCATGCAAATGAGTACATTGGTGAAAATAATGAATTTAACAGTCTATGTCAACTGATAATGAAATGTACAGCTAAATTAGTTTATTTCACAAAGTTGCAAGTATTACAGTCAAAATCACAGTCACGCAACCTACCCTGTCAAGAGGGATGTCCTTGGCACTTTCTATCTTCAAGTCTGCAACAAAACTACTCAAATCTCCCAGGATACCTCTAGCTTTGAGAGTGTTTGGAAAATTTCCTCGATACCTTCCGCATATTGTCAATGTGCTTTCAGATGAAAGATCTGGAATGCACGAAGGATACACCTATCAAAAAATTTCAAATGAAACACAATGTCAAATACATTAGAGGAGGGAAAAACATGGGGAAATTCGAACATACTACTAAAGTAGACAAAACTTATGGGGAAGAAACAAGCATAAGCATACCTCTAAGTCATCAAGATCATCCAATGTCTCAACAGTAACATTTGCAACAATAGTGGATAACCCTATGCTAAATAATTTTTGCATTCGGACCTCAATAGAATCTGGTCATACAAAGGGATGAAATGCACAATAAAGTTAACATCCTCAGAGATCACAAGCCATTCATAAGGAAATTTTTAAATGGACAATATGATGAAGGAACTTAAGTTAGAATATGGTGTGGAAATAAACTCCTTCTTGCTAATCATTAATAAAATAAATCCAGAACATTTTTCAAGAAAAAGAAAAGCCAAAGACTTAAGCATAGCTGCCAATCTGGGAACAATTCTTAATTAGATGGGTCCCCCAATTGGAAATTTCCAATCAATTTAATGAAAATCAGTCCCATAAATTTTCCAACATAATCAAAATCCCATACTTCTACAAATTTCCTAGCAGCTACGAGAGAGAAAAGAAAGATTATTTGCATTAAGCAATCTATAAAAGAAGTGGAAGAATAGACTTACCTAAATCAAATGCAGCATCATATTGCCCCCTGCCAATCATTGCAAGCATACGCAGGAAATAATGATTGCAGAATGAACCTACAACATTTCCACATAAGAAATTAAATAAAAGATACAATATACTAAATAATTAGCATAATCTGTCTTCATCACAAAGACAAGCAACCTCCAAAGATTTAAACTAATTAGCAAGTAAAGCAACTCAAACTCTAGAAGCCATTACCTATGCCAAAAGTGTATATGCGTGGGCATAATGACTCTCCATTTGCTAGACGACTTTTCATTACATCACAAATGCGTTTCTCATCTTCAACAGCCCCATCAGTAACAAGGAAAATAATAGGAATTGTACCAGAAGTATTCATTAGCATCTCAGTTGCCTGAAACAAAAAAGCAACAGTTAATAAAAGCAATGATCCTCCACATGAGAAAACTTGGATAAAGAAGAATAACACAATATTCTCAAAAAGTAAAAACTATGCAATAGATCATTAAAGTAAGCAATCTCAGACACTGAATTTAAAGGAACAGGGTAAATAAGGAATAATGCTGTTAACCTGATCCACAAAAACTTGCTGGCTGCTTTGGAATGGTGAACAAATAAAGAAACATGGGAATTTTCAGATAAGTAGTGCAAGTGAAAATCAAATCAGAATGGAATGGATACAGACCTTGTCTATTGGAGTAAATATATTTGTACCACCCCCAGCAATAAAGTTTGTGTCAATCCACTCAACAGCCATTTCAACAGCTTCATTGGTAGCCAACTCCATTGATGTTGAAAACATACGCGTTTTCTCACTAAAAGCTATGATATTAAATGAATCTTTAGGATTGAGCTTAGAAAGTGCTCCCGATAATGCATTCTTAGTATCCTCAAGGGGCTTTCCAAGCATGCTTTCGCTTATATCAACAATAAATATGATATCCTTTCTGAACCCCTATCAAATTCAATGAGATGAGGAGAGATTCACAAAGAAGAAGAAGAGGAAGACTTAGCAAATTGAAAAGTGTCAAACTAACCTTCACACTTAGCTGACTTCCTGAATGGAGATAGATACAGAATGCTTCTCTTTGATCAACATCATATACCGATGGAGATTGCAAAAGAACATGGCCAACTATATGACTTGAAGAGACCTATAAGGACATGGACACATATACAGTCATAAGAATCACAATTATACAAAAATGGACAGAAGAAGCCTCTCATGGAAAGTTTCAATAATCTCTATGACATTAGGGACATTAATTGACAATATATGAAACAGTTGTTTTATTGTCCTAAAGAAAACATAAGCATCACCCAAAAAAATAAAAAAGAATAGAACATAGATTGGTGATAAATTTGAGCCTGATTCGTACAGTATATGAGAAACTGAAGTCAATTTTTGACCATGCGAGAACATCTGCTTCATAAAAGAAGCCCAAGTTGCCCACTTGGCGTCTTATTTCCTGTAAGGAACAAGGAAAAAATTAAGAATTGGAAAAATGGATCATTTATTCAGAAT